CTGTACATGCATAATGTGAGTGAAAACCCTTTTTTGGTCCTGGAACTGCTGGACAAGATTTTGTGAAACAACACCAAGTGTCTTGACAAAGCAAAGTATGCAGGAAATTGTCTTGCTAAGGCTAATTTCTTTTCCATGCTTGAGTATAAGGAAGTTCTGATCTTATTGTTGACATATTGTGTGTTGTTTGTAGGAGAGTGCTTTGCTTTCCATTTTTATTTTTTAAAGGCAGGGATCATTTTCTAGAAACTTGGGCGGGGGTGGGGGAATCAGGTACTATTAATAATCAAAAGCTGGAGGCCTTGGAATTTCACACTGCCCATCCCTGCTTAAAGTTATCAAAAAAGTTATTAACATTCAGATTTTTTTTTAAATAGCACTCACTGCAATTTTATAAAGAATAGAGCAAAGTAACTGTGGAAAAATAGTTTTAAATAATGAAAGTAATAGTTACCATTGTATGCAAATGCTCGGTGATGTTCAGTATAAAAACATATTGAATAAAATATAAATTTAACTACACTAAGTTTTACAATGTAATATAGACTTTTTTTTGAAGAATCCAGGAAGAAGAAGGTGGTGTTTTGATGCTAAGCAGATTGCCTTTCCCTACCTATACTCTTTGGGCCCTTAGAAAAGCAAAAAAAAAAAAAAAATACCAATATGGTCATAAACATGTTTAGAAGGCAAATAAAATAAAACAAGGAGAAAGGATATTGTTATTCTGACTCAACAGAATTTTGATTCTTAATGTTTTAAAAACTCTCATTTCTTCTGGTTTCACCTTTATTTTCTCACTACTTCTGATCTCACATATTACAAGTATACTTTGATTTGCATAAACCAATAGAAAGAGCATTGCATTCTCACCATTTTCAGTTAGAAATGGCAGCTTTCACCCTCCAGTAATAAAGTAAACTTATTTAGTAGAGCATATTAAAATAGGCTTTTATAGATTGATATTCTTGTCTCCACTATTAAACAAACCCATGCAGAATAAATTTCAGCTGTCCCTATTTGAGTTGTCCTTGTACTAATACCCAGTCAACCAAACTGCACTATTTTTATAAGCTTAAAAAGAAAAGCACATACAATGCTTCAAAATTGGTATTTCTGAACTTTTGAATAATTACATTTTATTCTGCCAGGTTTGATTTCTTTCCTAATTTTCTGCCTGTTGTCTAGCAGTGATTTTATTTATATTATTGATTGTTGCTTGTTTTATCATTTATTAATGTTTATCAAAAACATTTTATTGTAAAATAAAAAGAAAAAGAAAAAGAAAAGAAAAGCATTTATAACCAAGATAAAAATGACTTCTTTTGATTCACTATTGATCTAACAGTAAATAAAACATTCAGAATTGCATTAAAAAAAACTAAAAATATGAAATAAAAGTACTCCTCTACTTTTGTTATTGTTTACTATGTCATGATTTTTGTGACATATTTTATCTTAATAATGCATTTTATTTTTTCATCTCTGAAAACAACTAATTAAACTTACATTATTTTTTCAGTGAATGTAAATATATTAATGAAAACTATTGTATCTGATTATAAAATTGAAGTCAGAAGGTACAAAATAAAGCAGTACAAGAAGCAAGATGGGAAAAGACAAATTATAAGCATTTCTCAGATACTGGTCTACATATTTCAACATATTGATTACCTATTAGTCAGTCAGAATTCCTGGTGTCAGCAAACACATATTTTTGCCTGTTCATTTGGCAATGATCTGTATGTTAATCATATGTGCCACTGTTTTCTACATTTTTCTTTCTGCTTCTTAATATATTTTATAACCTTCAGTCTTCCTATGGAAATACTGATCAATGATAAACCTGATTTTTTTTTTAGATCAATCAAGGTTTAGGTGCTCTATGCAGTTAGGAGGATGTACACCTCAATTCTTGTAACTTATTTTATTTATTCCAATGATCAGTGATGCAGCCAATGTACAAAATTTTAAACATGATTGTAGTAGCCACTCGAATTGCTCATTTGCACCAAAATATTATCTATTTCTTCCAAATTTGTTTACCATTTACATATTAATAAATAAGATGCCAAATAATTTTCATGTGATACATATATTAATAAGATCAATGATGTTTTGAAATGAAAAAGGGTGCATTAAAACAGCGCGTAGAAGAACTCTGCATGTACAGTATGTTGTAGAAGTCATAATTTACTGTCCAGATTATTTTTGATATCATAGCTGAATACTTTGCTAAATTCAATATGCATTTTAATGGAGATGTTCTTGGTGACAGTTTTACTCAATAGGTGCAGATTTTAAATGCATATTATTGTTTTTTTAATGAGGCAATTAAATGTGTTCAAATAAGATGTAATGAACCAATTACTATTGTTTTTGCAAAGTGGACATAGTATATAAGAAATACTATGAACATTAAGAGTTGAGATGCAGGTTAGGGAACATTTCCTTTGCTATTTTTCAGATACACAAACATGAGAGTAAATAATAACATAGTCGGTTTCCACCAAGTAACCAAAACATGACATCATGATAATTTGTAACATATCTTGCCTCTCTTCCAAGTTCTGAGGTAAGATTAAATGTTTGAAAGTTTCTGTTTCTGTTTTCCAGCTGACTCAAGGAACTGAATATAGTTCTCCTATCAAATTAAGCCATCCAGATCATGTATTCTAAGATTAGCCCATCAAAAAAAATCATATCTAGATTTACCTTTCTTCTAATTTTCCTCCCACACTCTTGCATTTATATCAATTTGGCAATTCAATGTGATTCTCATTATAAATGCACCAGGGAAAGCATTTAAGATAGTGTAGAGTATTTTAAGAGGTGACACAGTATTTTCTAGCATTGTATATTTTAGTTATTTCATAGTCTCAGTCAGGTTGGTTGAAATTTGAAACCCCACATACTTTTCCATCCGAAACAGAATGAAAAGGCTGATTCTCATAAAAAATCGGTCCTAAGAACCCAATATATTGAACAAATTGGTGTATCCTGCAAGGGTGATCTATTATCCAATTTTTGATTCCCTGGTTTTTCACAGATGTTTTTATTACTGTATTCTTATATATCTAACTTATCTGTATTTTGTCTTATTATATATTTATGTTATGTTACTGATAAGGTCTTATGACTATTCAATAAACCTCTTATTATTCATCAAAGATCTCAAATGATTCCATGGAGCCTGTAAAATTTTAATCTCAGCAAACTGTTCTTATTCAAACAAAACCTTGAATATATTAATATATCATCATTATTTTGGCAAAGACAAACAAATTCTATGTCAGAGATGTTCTGTAAGTCTTCAAAGTTTAAATTCTCTCCAAATGAATAATTTCCCTGCAAATTATTCTAAGCAGAGAGGGCAGTTTGAATTTTCAGATCTGAATCATAGATATTCAAAATATATGAAGCATTTAACTATCATCAGAAACAAAATTTGTAGTGTCCTTATGGAAGACAATGATGACATTTAAAAGATGTACTTAAATACTGTAGGCCTTTCCCTTTTCTGAAATATAATACATTCATAATAAATTAGAGATAGAAATATAAGGGGAAACTATGAAGTACTTATCTCTACACTAAATATTTTGATCATGAGAAATGTTAATCTGATACCTCATTAATCAAAACAGCATTAACGTGTTATTTTCAGTCCAAAATAAGTTTATTATTTCAGATTGAGGACAAACTGGTTGCAGAAAGTGAGGAGATGGTAAAATTATAATAGATTTGAATTTTGAGATTTTAAAAAAATGTAATTTAGCTAGTAAAAGGAGATATGCCTAGTGTCATGGCAGATCTTTTAATATCTCAGTAATTCCTAAAATTAGGTTGCTGAAAAACATGGCTAATGACCACGTTCTTCCTTCCCATGCAACAAGCTTAACTAATACACAATTAAGTCAGTAAGGGACCTTCTAGATTTTATATAGATAATCCTCAACTTATGACCATAATTGGGACCAGAATTTCCATTGCAAAATGAGTCATGCCCAATTTTAAGTGAGTTGTGCCCAATTTTACAAATTGTCAATGGATGTTAAATGAACTGCTGCAGTTAAATGAATCACGGGGTTGTTAAATTAATCTGGCTTCCCCCATTGACCTTGGTTTTTGGAGGCTAGCTGGAAATGTTGTAAATGATGATCACATGATGCTGGGATGCTGCAACCATTGTAAATACACGCCAGTTTCCAAGTATCAATTTTTGATCACATGACCATGGGGAAGCTGTGACAGTTGTAAATGCAAGGACCATTCATAAGTCACTTTTTCCAGTGCCATCATGACTTTGAACAGTCACTAAATGAATGGGTGTAAATCAAGGTCTACCTTTATTGCCACAGATGTTCTTGGTTCAAGAAGATCTTGGAAAAGAAAAAGCAGGAATACATTTCTTTGATTTTTCAGATATACCTATTGATTTCTTGTCTCAATTGTTACACTAGGATGTTGATTGTGATCTAAGTGACACCTGCTGCTGGACTGGAAAAAATCACACAGTAATTGGTGAAAAGTGCAGTGGTGATCTCCATTCTATCCTGCCATTGGCAAAGCTAATATTTGCAAGCCTTCTACATGCTGATACTCTGTAAAGCTGTAATATCATTCCAAGCAAAGTGAAGCAGAGCTCAAGCTGCTTTGAAATAGAAAACACACGGGAATTTACGTGGGTGGGAAAGCATATGTTGCCAGCTGGAGGAGGAAGTGGTATACCACATTTACTTCATAAGTGTGAGGTTTTTATAAATAAATTCTCTTGGGGATTGTTTAAAATAGACAAAAAATGACACACAGTCTCCAACCAGCCTATGTTGTTTTAGAAAACTGAATGCATTCTGAAAATATTAGCATACTTCCTAGGCCCTTTTTTCTTTTCTTTTTATATCTTTATTTTTAACTTCAAGCTCTTATGAATTGTGGGCAGATGGGATATACAGTAATCGTCAGCACATCTTTTATGAAGTAAGCATCTTAAACTGTCTTACCTGGCAATGAAAAACATACTCAGGAGTTGTTTTTTTGAATTTCATGTTCCAGACCAAGGCCACCCCATCAGGTTCATGTGGAGCATCTTCATTGTTGTTATATGAAGCAACCATCAACTCAGGATACTGTAAAGAAAGTAACAGGCAGTTAAATTTGGATACACAGTAGTGGACAAAATGATATATGCTGAGTGAAAATCACATAAGCAGATAGGTTCATCCAGAAGGTCTAGCAAAAGAAAGACAGAATGATCTATAAAGTAGAAAACTTTCCTGCATAACCAGATCTGAAATTAGGGAACTAGTGATGAAAAGATAGCCCATGCTATATTGCCTTCATCAGCCTATTCACTCACCTGGTGGGAATTCTACATTCACATCTGCTTGACATATGTGGCACTGCTGATGATTGCTGAGTGGTTAAACTTAAGTGCCTGTGTATAGTAGAGCTTTGAAAGTATTCAGAACGAGCAAATGCCCTTTCCTCAAAGCACAAAGTAGATTAATCTTATAGGGTTGACTAGCTACTTCATGGGTTTTTCCAATGCTTGGTTATGGCCAGCTGCTCTGCTTCAGTGGAGCTTACAACAAATGTGAAGTCTGTGCAAATGGAAGCATGTGGCTGGCTGCCTCCAAATAAATATCTTTTAAAGCAGCCAAGCCATATAGCTACTTTAATGCTTCAGGGAAGGTGCATTTTGTGAAGTGACACAGCTATGTATATGTTTATCCCATCTATTGAAAAATAAATAAAGAAAAAGCATAGTTTATATTTGAAATTACTGAGACACACACAAATATAAGGAACTGGAACCCATAAAGTTTAGCTTCTATGTCACACAGCATCCAGCTATGTGTCCTTGAGAGGTTTGCATGAAAGAACCAACATCCATTCTCATTTCCTAGTAGCTAATACTAAAAGTATGCTGCCTATGATGCAGGAAACAGTACAGAGTCATCAAGAATAATAGCCACAGTGGCTTCCGGTTTTGCAAGGCTCGGCGGCGGCAGGAATTCGTGATCCTCCGCGATTCCTGCTGCGCTCGCTGCCGAGGTTCCTCCGATCCAGATGGATCTGGAGGATAGGGCTGCCCCGTAGAGGCAGCCGAAGAGAGAGGGGATCCGGATTTGGGGGTATCGCAAACCCCCTCCTCAGCCGGCAAAACCCCTTTTTCCCAAGGCAGTGGAGCGGCGGTCAGCAATGGCCGCCACAAAGAAGCCTGCAGCCGGGTAAGATTTGTGCAGGAGGAAGCAGGTGAAGGCGAAAGTTTTGGCTGAACCGGGACTAGAAGAAACTTTTAAATACCCTGGAAACTAAATTGTTTGAAGGATACATTGTCTCCCAAGGAAGATTGTAAAAGCGGTGGGAAAAAAAGCTGAAAGGGGAAGTTACTTTCTTTCACTCTCCCTTCCCACAGAAACAGCAGTTGGAAATCTGGAAAACCTGCTTGGGCATAGAAGGTAAACTTGAAATTTAAAGCCAAGGGGATAAAGGATTTCTGGACATTGGAATTAAAAACTTAAAATTATTTTTATTTGTTATAAGTGGAAGGGAAGAGGTAAAGATTTATTTTAAGATTGTACTGAAGGGGACTGCTTTGAGTTTATAAGATCAGAAATAAAAGGTATTACGACTTCTAGAAGATTACTTTGAAACTGTGTATTTGAATTCTACCCTAGGAAGAGAAAATATAGAAAGAAGAAAGTGCTAAATGAAACTGTTTGCTTTGATTTAGTTTGCTTTGTGACTTTGGGATCTTTGTGAACTATTTCTTGAAAGATTAAAGATATTTGGGTTGTTTCAAAAAAAGGGAAAAATGGCATTATCTTTTGAAGAAGTACAAATGGAATTTCAAAAATTGAAAGAAGAGGAACAGGAAGGCATGGGCTCTTCTGGATCTATTTTCCACTTTTTAGAAATGGCGATTTCTACCTATAAAGAAATACAACAGCGACAGGAAGGCTGGGAACAAGAAGAAGAAGCCATCTTTAATGGACAAATACTCTTAGTGGAGGAAGAAAAGCATAAGGGGGGTAAAGAAATGGTGAATTCGGGACTTAAAAAAGCAACCAAGAAAAAGAAAAATAAGATGAAAAATCAGTATGATGTCAGAAAGCAACAGAAAAGAGAAATACAACAGAGAGGGAAGATAAAGAGAGTGAAACTTGAGAGATGGGGGGTCAAAAAGCTAGAATTGACAAGAAAGGAAGGGAAAAAGGAAAGAGAAGTCATAAAAGCTTTAAACAAGATGTTTAAAAACAGGTTTTTTTCAGAGATAAGGGGTAAGATATAACTTTATAAAAATGATTCTGCAAAAGTACATAAGATTGTATGGTAGATATTAGTATTTGAAATTGAATTAGAAAATTAAAATATTACATGAATTAATAATGCATTAAAGGGAAGCTATGAAAATGTTTAAGATTTGATAATAGAGTTTAATTTACTATGAAATATTGCTTTTATTATATTATAAACTTAATATTCCTTTTTTCTTGGTTTTACTATTACTTATTAAATTTAATATTATTGGCTTGTTTTATTATTTTGAAATGCAGTACTTAGAATGTATGAAGCAGAATCAGTATGGAAAGTATGTACTATTTTAAATGTAATAGGGGAAAGATAAAAAGTTGTCATACTTCAACCAGTGGTTACAGGAGAAATATTGTATTAGAAAGAAAGGAAAAATAGATGATTGAAAGAGAACGGACAAAAGATGCAAGTATAATTATTTAAATTGAGATGAAATAAATAAAATAGAATTAAAAGAATGAATAGGAGAGAGAAAATATATAGAAAATATAGAATGTTAAATAAGATATGAAATAGTATACTATGTGAGCACGAATTTGATTTATGTCTGTACAAAAAGATTTAACCCGGGGTAAGCCGCTTTCCAAAAAGAAGTTTTATGTATTTATGTTTTGTGTAATGTTTGTTTATGTTTGAAAGGATGTTGGAAGAGAACTAATGAAACTATATATAATGAATATATATAATTTAAGGCAAAAGAAATACAATTAAACAGAAGGAAAGGGAGTAGTAAAGAGAAGTTGGGAAAGGATATGAAGTTGAACAGATAAGATAAATATATATATTAAATTGTGTTTGTATAGAAATGTGATAATTTGGAATTATCTTGTTTTTAAATAAGATATTCTATGTGTTTTTTAGAAAAAGATATTTTATGTTACTACATCCTATGTTTTGTTTGCTTGTGTATGTTTTTAAAAAAAATTAATAAAATTTGTTCAAAAAAAGAAAAAAGAATAATAGCCACAGAATAATGGCTTGACTCTCTATCTAGCCTTTTTTTAAAAAAAAAAAAACCTATTTAAATTAATGGTTATCACCATATTGTATTTCAATATCTACATTTTGCCCTTAAATTATAGGCTGTGCTGGTTATCTATTGACAAAATATTAATAGACACTATTGGAATTATACTAACTATTGTAAGTTATACTAACTTCTGTAAGCCATCCTAAGTCATTGAGTAATACAAGATATGCAGCAAATAAATTTCATAAATAAATAAACAAACAAACTATAATTTGTAATTTTACAAAGGAATTGCCAGCTTTTCTCAACAGACTTTTTGTAACTTTCACAGAAGCACAAAAACAAACTTTGTATGTGAAGATTCAGTCACTGATCCATTTCTCTTTACTTGTTTAATGTTTGCTTGTTTCCCACCTTATTAGTCATAGAAATCATATTGCTTTATCTATATCTGTAATTATTAAATATATTTTTCTTTGTTTACTGTTTTCATAATGTGAATAATCTTAAACACCATTGCACATTTTGCTTGGTTATAATACACAGAACATTTTAGTAGTATATATTATAAGCACTAATAATACCATAATGATAAAATGGTGATATATATCTTCTGCTTGCAGTACAAGTCTATTTCTATATCTATATCTGAGTTGGTCTATTAATAAATATGGTTTAGCTAAGATATAGGAGAGCCTTCAACAAAGCACACACAATAGATAGAAACTCAAGGTAAACCGGACCAAACTTGATTGCAGGAAATACGACTTCAGCAACAGAGTGGTCAGTGTCTGGAATATCCTACCTGAGTCTGTGGTTTCTTCTCCAAACACCAAAAACTTTAACCTTAGACTGTCTATTATTGACCTCACCCCTTTCCTAAGAGGTCTGTGCATAAGTGCACCAACATGCCTACTGTCCCTGTCCTAATGTTTCTTTTTATTCATATCCATTTCATGTATTCATAACCATGTTTATTATACTTATACCTGTTATCTAATACTTGTTTGACAAATAAATAAATTTTCATTTATTAGCTCTCAGCAGCAGAATAAAATGGCCATTTCAAGCATGAAATTTTCAGCACATTAAAAGAAATGATTTTTTTTCATTGTGCAACTGATTGGTCTTATGTTTTCTGCAAAGTCATTTCAATATCTTATATGTTATAATTAATTGACTGGCTTTGAATTCATATCTTGACTTGGGGAGGAAAGTACTGTTCATTGCTCAAAGCAAATATTTCAATAAAGCCTCATCGTATGGGCCTGGCAATCTAAAAGTAATCATGTATCAATAAACACAGGCAGTTTGAAATGAAATTATATCAGATAAATTAAGTAAAAGTCAAAAGACAGGTTTGTCTCTTTCCATTTGGGGCAATGGAAAAGAAAAACTGGATTCACATATGAAGGTATTTTTGATATTTCTACATTTATTTCTGATGATCAATAACATGAATACTTATCTACATTATATTACCCTGGTTAACAGAAAATTCCATTGTGTGGCTTCCAATTGTCAAGCATTGTAAGCACTACAATGTATGAGGCTATATAATTATTTCCAAAGTGGTACTTCTTAATTATGATAGGACAGTCAGCATAACTATAATATTCTGGAAGTTGCAACACCTTTCTCAATTTACCAGAAAAAGAAATACTGGAACACATCAAAGTTTATTCTGAATATGTCTGCCTATTTAAGTATATGTTTGAAGCATGAAACCTAGGGATCAGAAATGGCGGCAGTGAGAATAGCTGAGGTGAACATCTAAGAGAGATAAGAGCAGGAAGAAAAGAAGGTGAAACAAGGCCACCCAGAACAAAGAAAGAGGAGACAAAATACTCTGTATACTTGCCTGCCTGAGGGAATGAACAATTATATTTTGGCAGTTGCTTTCTAAGTTGGGCTTATCTTGCTGTTGCGGGAATACTATAAATGCTGCTTGTTAAAAAACTATCAGATAAGAATTCCATGTAATTTTCATCCCCTTGAAAAGTCCAAGATAAGTTTTTCCTCAGGCTTGTTTCCTATTTCTGTGAAATCCACATAGACCTATTGGCCACCCACATACTTAGCCATATCTGTTGCAAAATGGATTTAATTAAAACACATGGATGCAAAAACCACTCTGGCAATAAAGATGGAGTTACATGCTATAAATAAAAAATGAACTTCAATATATGTGTTATTTCTCTCAAGCTAGATGCAGGTCTGCATCTCTTAGACCCAAAATAAATTCAAAATATACCAAGATTATCTTGAGATTTCACATGTCACATTATTTGTTATCTTGAGAGTCGGCATTATTTGTTTCTCTGGTTTAGCATCACAACAATCCATAAAGGCTTGCTCTTTGAACAACACCTTATAAGTAAGCAATTTATAATGCAATTAATATGTTTGAGGAATGTCACCAGGACTTTGAATCAACAGTCAGTTGTGTAGTGTGTTCTTATGAACAGTATAGTCTCAGAAGAAGATGAAGAAAAGAAAAAAAATTGGAACAATAACATGACATGATTGTAGAGAACAAAGGGAACAGATATTTGTCACTGTATATACAAAAACATCAAATTAAAATTAAAAAGGAAATAAAAATGCCAATTCGAGAGAGAAATTGGAATAATTTCTTCCTTCTGGATTTACAGAAGAGGACTGTTAAAGTTTTGACAAAACTCAAGATAAAGCATAGTAATCATTTGAATGGATTAAACCAAGATAGTTTTATATAGAAAAAAGGAACAGTTTGCTTATTTAATCAGGATTAACATGGAATATGTTGTTATTTTGGATGGTTCTTTCTGGACTAGCTGACATCTGGATTAAAAAATACATTGTGTACTGGATTTGCTTACAGTTAAGAATAGAGATTTGTAAAGATGAATTTTATATTTGTTAACTGGTTTACTGGATTGCCACACCTGGATTAGAAAAGATGTTGCTTATTGAACTTTCCAATATTTAAAAATTGAGCTATGATATGAAGAGTTTTATATCTGTTAAATTAAAAGTGAAGAGATACTGAAAGTATTTATATTTGTCGTGATGAAGATGGGAAGTCACTTTCTTAGTGATTTTTTTTCTCTTTCTCCTTTTAACTCTTTCTTTTATTTTTTTTCTTGCACTTTTTATTTTTTTATTTTTAGTTTGTGTTATTTTTTATTATTGTAGTTAAACTTTATAATAAAACACATAAAGTGCAAATTTTAATTCCTAGTAAAGGATTTGAACTCCATAAAATAATGTCCATTATTTATATCTTATATGCCTCAATAGGACAAAAATTGTCATAGGATGCTTCTCTGTATCAATATAATCAAATACTTCAATGAAAATGACTCTTCCACAAATTTCTGTTTGCTGTCTAATTTCTTTTCCCATTAAGGATACTGAGATATTTTGCATATAGAACATATATTCAATAATTAAATTATACATCCTTTTCCAAGGCTAGATGCCTTATTACAACTGACCATGTTAATATGGTTATAGCTATATGAACTTGTATGACATGCTGGCATTTTAAATCTTATTTTCTTTGAACATCCAATATCACAAGTTTTTCTCATTAGCACTTTACTTATATTATTGTAATTTTAGTGCCTGTTTCTCAAAAAATTAAATTGAAATACTTGGAATTATTAGCATAGTAGTACGCCAAGGGTGGGATGCTACTGGTTCGGCCCGATTCTATAGAACCAGTAGCTCTGAAGAGCAGCATACACTGAATCGGTTCAGTGCAATGACCTTTTGGTCATCCATTTGGCCTACCTGGCCACCCGGGCTCTTGGCTGTCCTTTATTTTCTGCTTTTTCAACCTCAGCTGCTTTGCGTGACACAGCTGAGGTTGAAAAAGCAGAAAAGAATATTTTCAAATGCTGCGCACCTGCGCGCAGTGCTTCTCAGCTATCCGGGCAGCACAGTTGATGTTTTTTGCAATTGTTTTACCCATACACACACAGCACACATCAGGCACGTGTGTGTCCAAAATGCACTCTGACCGAATTCGTAGTAACACCAGTTGAATCCCACCCCTGTAGTACGCTCATTTATTTTATTAATTTTTAGACAGTCTTATTCCAAGTATGTTGAACAACAAAGTTTAACATCTAGTTTTAGTTATATATGGGTTCCAACACACATGGATGATTACAAGAAAGGAAAAGGTAGTTAAATGACCACAAAGTCTATTTGTTTTCTTTATTTGACACATTTATATAGCTGTCCATTTTTCAGCCAACTCCCAATCTAATATTTAAAATTAACATAAACATGCAAAATCATTTTAAAAATTATAAAACACAACTAGTGAAAACATAAAATATTCAGAAAACAAGTTACAAATCTTACCTGTAGGGACCAATCCATACAAGTGACAACACGATGTTTAGACCAATGCTCATCATAAAACTGTCGGCTGAAGGAAAGGTTGACTCCAGCTTGGACATCACTATATGTATTTGAACAAGGATTATATCACTACTTAAAATTAGAACTGACATTTTAAAATAATAAACTGTTTTGCCAATAATTAGTTCTCATTGTTTCATTTCTCTACTACATTCCCTTAGCTATTTTAGTTTTTCTGTTTCTTAACCTCTCTGTCTGTCCTGTCCATGATTTAAATCAAAGGAAAGAAATAGGCTAAGAATAAATTTATTACATCTAAACCATCTAAACAAGTGGAAAATAATGGTTCTACATTTTTTAATTTATTTAGGCCATTGGAAATCACAAATAATATTGAACAACTGAGATAAGAATCTATATAGTTTACTTTCTTAATTTAACTTTAACTTCCAACATTTCTTACATATGTAGTTTCCAGAATATAGAACAGGTTCAAACTGGCTTAGTTGTGATGCTGGGTTTCACATTATATTAGCTAACACATGAATTTTATATAGAAAACTGCTATAGAAGATGTCACATATTTGTGCATGTTGTGAAAGTTGTTTATTAATTATTCAACAATATATTATGATTTGGAACAAATTAACAAGCAAACCAGATTACACAATCTTTCAAAAATTGCAATTGGATTCTGGTTACAACTCTGAAAATCTTGCAGTCAGCATTATAATTGAAACTGGTATTCCCAAGAAGGACACCAACAAAAGAAAAGTTGACTTCTAATTTCCTTCCTAGGGAATATTTTGAACAAATGCTGAGTGTTTCCATATAGATTCAGAAGTTTTACATGTTATATAAATTATACACAAAACAAATCATGGCTCAACCTTTCTTTTCTCAGATCCTTCAGATGTGAAGGATCTGAGGGGAAAAAAGAACTGAGAAATATGCCAAGTATAGTATAGATGGTACTTGGCTCAATAGTAACTGTGAAAGGATCTTGGACTCTTAGTGGACAATCATTTAAATATGAGCCAGTAGTGTGCTGAAGCTGCCAAAAAAGCCAATGCAGTCTTAAGTTGTATTAATAGAGGAACAGAATCAAAATCATGTGTGTTAATACTGTTAAGTATGAGGCATGGGCAGTGTTAAGTATGAGGCATGGGCGTAGAAACGGAGACGAAACTGCTTCTTGTGAACTTCAGCTCTTTATTTAAAGCATGATAACAGAGACAAAACCCTTGGATAGCGGCCGCCCTTTTATAGAGTGAACTGCGATCCGGATGACCAATGGATGTTGTTATAGGGTCTGAACCTCGTCCAATGGGACTCGGCCTGCCAACAGCCAGTCAGATTGCTCGGAATTAACCAATCATAACTTGCCATTATAAGGGCCAATAGGAAGTGCAGGATTACGATCCTGCTATGCAAATGAATCTTTATTAATTACATTTCTTTAGTTCACAACACCCCTCCCCCCTGGGTTCCGTTTGACAGCCGTGGTGACGTAATCTCGCAGGTATGCAGGTTGTTTTACCTGCCTAGTTGATTTCCGCTGTTCCACCGGTTTTTGTTTAAAGTTCGGTTCCGGTGGAACGCAAGGCTCGTTTCCGCCCGGGGTTGCTTCTGCGATACTATCAGAGTCCCTTAAGTCCATTCCTGGATCGGGCGGGCCTGTTTCCGCTATGGTGTTCCTCTGCGGGAAGGATGGCCCCAATCCCGGACTTTCTTCAGGTGGCGCGAGCACTCGGTTTAGTGGCCGTCGGTCTTCAATTACGTCGTGGTCTATGCGGTCTTCATTCCCCTCGGTATTCCCTCCCCCCTGAGTTTGGAAGTCCTGGGGTCACAGATATTTGGTTGTAAACGAGATCAAAGTTGGTCTATGTGGCGGTTCCATATCTTGCCGTCTGTCATCTTAAGGCGGTAAGATCTAGGGCCAGTGAGGTAGACTACGGTGGCAGGGACCCACAACAGTTCGCCGGAAAGGTTTTTAGCGTAGACCAAGTCGCCTACATTGAATTGGCGATGCGTTCCGCTGGATCTGCAAGGTTTCTCTGGCGCATAAGATGGGTGTAATCGGTCGAGGTGGGAGCGAAGCTTCCGCCCCATTAAAAGTTCGGCTGGAGTCTTGTTGGTGACACTGTGGGGGGTAATGTGTTGTAGTAAGAGAATTTTGTTCAATCTAGTGTCGATGTCCCCCAGATCCATTTTTGGAGTGTCCTTTTAAGGAATTGGACCATCCGTTCCGCTCTACCGTTTGCCGCAGGGTGAGCCGGCGAAGTTAAGGCATGGCGGATGCCTCGGTCCGCCAAGTATTGTTCGAAGGTGAGAGCAGTAAATTGGGGTCCGTTGTCGGAAACTAGAACGTCCGGGAAACCGTGTGTTGCGAATAATTTATCTAGTTTTTAATAACGGAGTCAGTAGTCGTGCTTTTCATCTTGTGGATTTCGAGCCAGTTAGAGTAAGCATCCACGGTTAGGAGAAAAGTGTGTCCCTTCGTAGGTCCCACGAAATCAATGTGGATGCGGGACCACGGGCCTTGAGGCGTTTCCCATTCAGTGGGGGTTGCTCTTGGTGGGGCGTTGCTGACCTCTTGGCAGTTTCTACACGTGGTTACCCAGGCTTCAATTTGTTTATCGATGCCTGGCCACCATGCGTAGCTTCGAGCGAGAGCCTTCATGCGGACGATGCCCGGATGTCCTTCGTGGAGGGTTTGCAACACGAGTCGCTGTAGTCTCTCTGGCACGATGACTCTATCTCCCCATAGGATGCAGCCCTTCTGGGAGAATAGTTCCGTTTGGCGGTTTTTGAACGGTGCAAAAGTGGCGGGAGTTTCTTCGACTGGCCAGCCGCGTTCAACCCAACTGAGAACTTTTGCGAGGATAGAGTCCCGTTTTGTGTCGGCAGCGATATCCCTTGCCGTTAGTGGCGGCGAGTTGAGGGTTTCAATTTGCAGCGTATTGAGGGTCGGAGCTGGGTCGCTGACGGTTTCCGGAAGTGGGGAACGGCTCAAAGCGTCAGCGTGGGGAATGGCTTTCCCTGGGCGATGCTGTAGTACGTAGTTGTAGGCTGCTAGGAATTCTGACCAGCGAGTCATTCTAGGTGATAATATATGCGGCGTTGGTTTATCACCTGCTAAAATGCCAAGTAAAGGCTTGTGGTCTGTGACTAGAGTAAAGGGCCGCCCGTAGACATATTCGTGAAATCGTTTCACGGCCGATACAATAGCAAGAGCCTCTTTGTCAAGTTGGCTATAGTTCCGTTCAGCCTTTGATAACGTGCGGGAAAAGTAAGCAATAGGAGCCTCATTCCTGTTTGGTAACACGTGGCTCAAAATGGCTCCAACCCCAAATGGTGATGCGTCGGAAGTAATGTTTAATGGCAAAGTCTCGTTGTACTGCATTAGCACAGCGTCGGAAGTTAATAAGTCTTTAACCTTTCTAAAAGAATGTTCTTCTCTGTGACCCCAAACCCAAATAGCTTTCTTGTCGAGAAGTCAATGTAAGGGTTCGGCTACAGTTGCCTTGTGAGGCAAGAAGATGTTATAAAAATTGATGAGTCCCAAGAAGGCCTGGAGATCAATCAGCCTTATTTTTAGGTCTTCGGGCGTTTTTAATTGCTTTGAGTTTGGTCTCGGTGGGGTGGATTCCTTGTTTATCGAGGAGATACCCAAGAAACTCCACCCGCTCAGTACACAGTTGACACTTATTTTTTTTCACCTTGAGGCCGGCATCTTTGAATCTATGTAGAACTAGTTTGAGACGCCGTTCGAGCTCTTCTTTATTAGGGGCCGCAATTAAAACGTCATCAAAATACGGCACAACCCCCTTTATGCCTTGCAAAAGTCTCTCCATTAGACTCTGAAATATCCCGGGAGCTACACTCACTCCGAACTGGAGTCTGTTGCATTTAAAGGCACCTCGGTGTGTAACGATAGTCTGTGCCTCTGCGGTTTCCGTATCAACGGGTAGTTGTTGATACGCTTGCGCTAAGTCTAACTTTGCGAAGATCTTCCCGCCCCCCAGGGAGTGGAGAAGATGTTGAACCACCGGCACCGGATAAGCGCTCTGTTGGAGTGCGTGGTTCAGGGTGGCGCGGTAGTCTCCACAAATTCTGATCGACCCATCCGGTTTGATGGGGGTTACAATTGGGGTCTCCCATCGGGCATGGTCAATAGGCTCCAACACCCCTTGGGCTATTAACTTATCAAGTTGCTCGTCGATCTTGGGTTTAAGGGCGAATGGTACCCGACGAGGCTTAAGGCGGATAGGGGCTATTTCTGGGTTGAGGTTAAATGATACAGGGGTCCCTTTGTACTTGCCTAAGTTGTCGGAAAAAACGTCCTGGAATTCCTGGACGATGCCTTCTTCCCAGTCGTTGCTCTGGGCATGGTGAATGCCGGCTAACTCAATCCCTAGTGGGGCGAACCATTGTAGGCCTAGCAAACTGGGCCGGTTGCCGTTGACAACAGTCAATGGGAGTGCTGCACTATGATTTTTGAAAGTTACTCGGACTTGAGTCAAGCCAGCGACTGGAATCGTGTTCCCCTGGTAATCCCTGAGGACGATCCTCTGGATGCTGAGGTCCTGACGGCGGATGGTCGGGATGAGTTGTTTGAGGGTCTTCCAGGAGACCATCGAGAGGGACGATCCTGAATCGACTTCCATTTGGCAAGGTTGGTTTTCTATGGCGACTCTCACTCGGATTTTCTGTGCGTCTAGTAGCGAAGCGTGGCCGATGGTTGTCGTTTGGTGTGTCTCTTCCCGTTTTGCTTGAAGAGCCGGTGCTCTGTTTCTGTAGGAGTGGTTGTTTTCTTGGTTACCCAAGCGATGCCGGTTTACAAGAACGTTTCTTGCGG